AAAGGGTTAAACAAATCTATTAAAAGTAGTTTGGTTTCAGCTAACTGAGCATGATTTCAACGAGTTTGGAAAAAGAAAACATACAGAAAACATAACATCCGAAAAAATCAAAACAGCTGTTAAATTAATATTGAACGATGACCATACAATCCGTGCTGCAGCAAGAGATTTCGGCAATTCTTAATCTTTCCTATACCATTGTATCTAAATATCAAAACAGCATTATTCAAAATACAATAGTTTGTCAGTATTTACAGCTGATCAAGAGGAAATGCTACGCTCATCTATACCGTACCTATACAGGGTGACAAAAAAGTCTGGAAACGGCTTAATATATTTTTAAATAAATTTGTTAGAAAATTCAAACCTTTCACATTAACTTACATGTATAAAAGTTACTTTTTGCAAGCATTACCATTTTTTCACCTTCACCAGAGAACGGCCCATGAGGAGTAGGTAAGGTACGTAATCTTTAATGTAAGCATAGGTTGATATGCACATAATTTTAAAGGTCTGGTCAAGTGGAGTTCATTGCCGGAAACTGCGTATCAAAAGGTTCATCCGTTACAAAATGGCGGCAGTCCAAAGTTCTTGCGGAAAATACCTGCACAGGCCTTACTCGTATTAAACATTAGCTTGAGAGCTGAAATTGTATTTTAAAGTCAAATAGCTCAAAGAAAAAGTTTATTCAATCTTCAAAACAAATTTAACCGGTTTTCAGATTTCCCGGCTAATGTTGACTATGATTATTTACCAATACTAAGGCCTGTGCAGGTATATTTCACAATAACTTTGGACTACCGCCATTGTGTAACGGATGAACCTTTTTGATGCGATTTCCGGCCATGAACTCCACTTGACCCGACCTTTAGGCTTGTCGCACACTACGGCAGACCAGCTCAGGCAGATCAGGTCAGACCGCTCAGGTCCGGCAGTTTTCCCACACACTACGTCCGGTCAGTCCGCTCAGCTCAGGCGTTTTTTGAGCGCCAACCTAGTAGTCGACAGACAGCGGCATTGGCTGCATGTATGCTTTGTGTCTTCTTGTTCAGTGCGATGCGATTGTGCGATGGGTTCTAGTAGTAGTGATGAAGAAACTGCTATAGTAGCATTAGCACTTGCTGCGGAAGAGGACGAGAAGGCCCAAAAAAACAGGAGAAAAAGGAGGACACTTTGGGTGCACAGTATTAATGTCGCACGGGATAGTGAGGGAGAGTATCATACTCTTTTCCCAAGATTAAAAAACGACAACGCAAGATTCTTTAGATATTTTCGTATGAGTTACGAAAAGTTTTTGGAGCTGCTACATATTATTGAACCTGAAATAAAAAGATGTGATACACGTTTTAGAAGAAGCATATCACCAGAGGAGCGATTGGCGGTTACCTTAAGGTAAGATTAGTAACAAGTATTATAACAATTATTTTTAAAGTCAATTCCTACACATGTCAAGAAAAGCAAAATCCTTTTTAGTACTCAAGCTTCATAAAACGCAAATCAAATTAATAAAACACAGGTTGCTGCGATTTTTTAAGTTTTCATAATTTTGGGACCAAGATAAATGTAATCTTCGTATTGGAAAGTATATATATACAAGAGATAATTTATAAAACACAGGTTGTTGCGATATATTTTTAATTTTCTCAATGTTGAGACTTAGATAAATGTTATCTCCGTCCCAAGGAACACCTAGAAAAAAAGTTTCATAAAAATTGACCATTAAAAGCAATTAAAATTTATAAAACACAGGTTGCTGCATTATTTCGAATTTTTCCAATGATTGGACCAACATAAATGTAATCACCGTATTGAATGACTAACAACCCACATTAATGAATAACTTTATTTTTAACTACATTGAAAATCATGGTTTATTACAAGTTACATAAATGTACTAAAAAAATTACATCAAGTTATATAAATATCTCTTGATGAGAGATATGATAATGGGGAAAACAGAAAGTGTCACATATCATTATAATATATGATTAGTTCACTTTAACATAGTTGTTACATTTTTCTGTAAGTAATTGAAGAAAAGTCTGTGTTGAAGTTCCCTTGGTTAATTGAGGATACATTTCGAGACGTGAGAACCAGAGGGTTCCATCTGCAATTTTTGTTATTTTTCATTTTTTTGCATTAATATACTCTTAAAGCATATTTCTATAATTATTTAATATTTCCAAAACGAAACTCTGAATAGTTTATGATTTATGAGCAGGGAAATATAGTTCCATCTGCAAAAGTTGGCAAACCTGAGAACCAGAGAGTTCTATCTGCAACATCAGCTGAGAAAGAGTTGTTGTTGTCACTATTGAGGTTATGTTTTCTTACTGTTGTATTGTGTTTCTTATGAGCAACCTAAATGGATGATTATGCAATAAATAAGTTGATTGACGACATATCTGATGGTAGTATATCATCAGAAAATAATGATAGTGGCGAAGAATACCTACCGATACCAAATGATGACGACAGTGAAGATGAATTCATTCCTTTTCCAAAACGGCGAAAACTTTGTACAAGGTAAGAGTATTGTTATAATTAAAGAGTTTTGTTAGGTTCATGTGCGTTTGATTGGCATTGTATAACTTAATATAAACATTACATTATTAAATTATCAATCTGTATATTTCATACTAAGCATAGATTGGGCCTAGGTCTTTTGCATACCGTATTTATTGGTTAGCCCACCTACAATGTTTACACTGTAGCCTAGAATAACTTGTGATCAAATTAACTCTAACGAACATGTAAAATATAATTTATTTGCTTAGCCGTGTAGTCTACCGGGACTAAAAAATAAATAGATTTGGATTTTATATGATTTTATATGATTGGATAATATATGATTAGTTCACTTTAACATAGTTGTTACATTTTTCTGTAAGTAATTGAAGAAAAGTCTGTGTTGAAGTTCCCTTGGTTAATTGAGGATACATTATTTGGCTGATGGGGCATCTGGGTCTGCAAGTTTGATCCATGAGCAACATTATATTGGTCTGTATTTATGTCCATCGTGCGATTGTACATTGAACTTGTAGATTGAGGGGTACCATGGCTCGGGACTAATGTTAGACTAATGTTAGTACTAATGTAAGACACGGGAATAATGTTGAATCTCTCCGGGGGTCTGCTCTCCAGTTAGTGATGGTAACATTGGTGAGGGGGTTGTGCGTAAGGACGAGGATGTCGTTCGTGTGCCAGTAGACCATGGAATATGTTCGGCTTGAATGAGATTTTTCATTTCATATTCTGACAATAAGGACGATATTTTAGATTTTATTTCAACTTGCAAAAAAGGTGTAAATGTTCTTACGGTATCTTCGGCAGATTTAAAGAATGATGTAAGATAATCTGAAGTTGTGTTTGTAGAGTGTTTTTTTTTTTTTGGAAAATAATTCTCTAGTACACCGGCCACTTGACTGGTACTCGTTGGTTCTTGGTTTTTTTCCGAACCACACGGGAACTGGATGCATGTCTCTTTGGTGGATTTAGTGTCGAAGATTGCTCGGTTTCTGAGACATCAGACAAGTGTTCCGCTGTTTTTTCCGCGTCATAGTCTCCTACTTCAGTTTCATTATCGTCTGCATACTCTATATTACTAATCTGCGGTCGTTTATCAGACATGTGGTCATTAAGGAAAGACATTTGGTCTTCATACTTCCAGGGTTTGATGTTTTTGTTTGCCTGCCCGCTCTTTGTTTTCTTTTTCGCTAATGCTTTCCTATAACTATCCCTAAGGTTGTTCCACCTTTTCTTTATTAGTGCACCTAAAAATAAAACAAATCATTATTGTTATGGAAGTCCAAATTCGATAAGTTAGTAATAGTCCAGTCAATGAATGATCCAAAAGTAGGTGTAGAGTGCGTGAGCAGGTAACTAAGTGATTCCTTAAGAAACTTGTTCAGGGGGCTTAGGGTGTTAACATACCAAAAGTCCTGACTCCTAGGTGGTGAGCCAGGGGGTGGAGGGGGGTAAAAGGGGGGGAGAAAGGTACGCATTTTAGGTTTTTTGATTATATCTCGAAAACTATCAACTTTTTGTATACTATAGTAAATTATAAAATTGAAGAAGATTAAATTTTCTACAAGAAAAGTATATAATGTGTTTATTTTGGTTCAACAGATTACGAGTTATAACTTATTTAATTGATATCTTATTAAAATACTCCTTCCATAAGAAATACATGTAAATTAGTATGCGAAATGGGGCGAATCCTATCCGCCCAAAGGAAATATAACTGATATTCTGGAAATCTTGACAAAATTTCCAGTAATTTGACACTTTAATCATGAAATTTTGTCAAAAATTAAAGCGAGGGTGAGCGTTTAAAAATGGGATGATTTAAGGTTTTTTTTTATATTTCCAATAAAAAAACACCAAAACTCGACATTTTGTTACCTCGCCCACGCCTTAATTTTGGATCAATTTTAATGATTAAAGTGTCAAATTACTGGAAATTTTGTCAAGATTTCCAGAATATCATTTATATTTCCTTTGGGCGGATATGATTCGCCCCATTTCGCATACTAATTTACATGTATTTCTTATGGAAGGAGATTTTAATAAGATATCAATTAAATAAGTTATAACTCGTAATCTGTTGAACCAAAATAAACACATTATATACTTTTCTTGTAGAAAATTTAATCTTCTTCAATTTTATAGTTTACTATAGTATACAAAAAGTTGATAGTTTTCGAGATATAATTAAAAAACCCAAAATGCGTACCTTTCTCCCCCCCCTTTTCCCCCCTCCACCCCCTGGCTCACCTCCTAGGAGTCAGGACTTTTGGTATGTTAACACCCTAAGCCCCCTGAACAAGTTTCTGAAGGAATCGCTTAGTTACCTGCTCACGCACTCTACACCTCATTCCTTGACTGGACTATAACCACCCGTGTTACTTGTAGTTCTGGTCTGCCCTAAATGTCAATTTTAAAAATTTACCATCTATAATATTACTTATATATGATTTTAAAAATACGTTCTATTGCAGGTTCCTTGGACACGCTGGCACGTACAGGTCTGTAGCATTCAGTTACAGAATGGGCGAGTCAACAGTTGCTAACATTGTACACAGCACTTGCAGAGTAATTTGGGAAAAGCTGTCACCGGTGGTTATGCCCAAGCCTGACAAAAACAAGTGGGAGAAGATTAGTGAAACATTTAATGAAACATGGCAATATCCAAATGCCATTGGAGCTATCGACGGAAAACATGTCGTCATTGAGAAACCAGGTAATAGTGGATCAATGTTTTTTAATTACAAAAAAGGATTCAGCATAGTATTGCTGGCTTTGGTCGATGCCAATTGCAATTTTATTACTGTGGACGTTGGCACTTATGGTAAAAATAGTGATGGTGGAATCTTCAAAGAGTCTCAAATAGGAAAATCTCTCCATAATGGTCTTCTTGACTTGCCTCCAGCTAAAGCCCTGGGTGGCTCAAGCATTGTACTTCCCCATGTCATGCTTGCCGATGAGGCGTTTCCCCTGCACATGAATATCATGCGGCCGTTCCCTGGCCCACGACTGATCAATAACACAGAGAACAAGGTATACAATTACAGGCATAGTCGTGGTAGACGCGTGGTGGAGAGTGGTTTTGGAATATTGGCAAAAAAGTTCAGAGTGTACTCCCAGAAACTCCAAGTAAAACCTGATCACGTAGATATCATAGTTCTAGCAACAACATGTCTTCACAATTTTTTACGAGGTGACGAGGCAAATCTATAGAGGCCTGGTGAACTGGAACTTAATGAAGAGTTCCACGGATTGCGACCACTAAGAAGGACAGGGGGAAACGCATCTTTAGAAGCATTTGAAATCAGGGATGGGTTTAAGAAATACTTCAACTCTGTGCAAGGCAAAGTGTCGTGGCAGGACGATATGATCAACAAAGGCAGGAAGAACGTGTAAAGACACAGAGCAACTACGACGTGCGAACAGAGCAACATGAAGGAAATGTAAACACAGAGAGTAATTGCAAAATTATTATAATAATACTAGCTGACCCGGCGAACTTCGTATCGCCTAAGTTGGTTATAGGTTTCCCCTAAGACAGACCGATGGAAAGAAAGTACCGTTACGTTTAATTTTCAAGATGATCTCGTTCGCATCGCTCAATCACGTCCTGGTTGAAGTTCGTTCGCTACGCTCACTCACCTTTGGGTTGGAGCTCGTTCGCTACGCTCACTCACCTTTAGGTTGAAGTTCGTTCGCTACGCTCACTCACCTTTTGGTTGCAAATTAGCTGTTGTCATAAATGTAAAAGAAATAATAGTGCTGCACCCTGTTGGTAATCCTTGTAACTTTAATGCTATTGAACATCATAGAACAGAACCAACTTGTTTAATTGAAACAGCTGTTAAGATTCATTAATTCCATTTCTCATAAGGTTAACATGGGAAACTCCAGATCCACTGGGGGGGAGCCCTTTTAAGAATTTTGAAACGGGAAATAGTTTACGTCCGATTCGCATACCTACAGAATTTACACACCAAATTTCATAACGATCGGTGAAGTCGTTCCGGAGGAGTTTGCAGACAAACACTGTGACACGAGAATTTTATATATTAGAGATAAAAATTGTAAATTTGTACAGATATATTATATAAATATAAGATATATATCTTAATAAATTGTGCTGATTGTTCTACTATTGTTTTAATGGTTTCACTCAATATACAAAAAAAATTTTGTTATCAAACCCAATTTAATAGTATGTGATATAATAATATTTTTATTATATAAAATTATCTACATTATTTAAAGATAAGAGTGAAAATGCCAATGCCACAAACAAAATGTTTCTATCTATTTTGGGTTTTAAAAGTAATGAATAGTTTCATTACTTAATTAATACACTGTATTATGTACTCTTGGGATAAGCCTTAATGCATCGTGATTTAAGAACGAGAACTTAATAAGTAAGCAACTTAAACAAGTACAGTATAATAAATAGTACTACATTTTAATAATAATACTACACGAGACCAGCTGTTCTGAGATAAGCGGTCATTCACCTCTGACAATCTATTTTGACGCAGTGCAAAGAATGTGTCAATGTGTGAGGTTATGTTCGTGTTTTGTTGTGATGTTTGTCTCTGTTGTAAAGTTGCCAACTGGTACAAACTACTGTTTATATATATGTACAAACTACTGTATGGTAACACATATTACTTACAATCTTCATTCAGATTTGTAGATATTTCCTCCCACGCGGAATCCTTCATCACTATATTGTAGTAGTCTTTGTGCGACAAGTCGTACAACATACCATAGCCCTGTACTGCAGAAATTAATCTTTCATCAAAACTCATCTTGAACTACTGCTTGAACTAATCACAGCAACTAATCACAGAACTGTGTACCGCACGAGCTATTGCACAACACTGGTTCACTGGCCGCGGGCCGGCGTCTCGCTCCGGCAAAAATCGCTTGCTGACCGAAAAGTGCCGGAGACGGTCTGACCGGACTGAACTGAGCGGTCTGACCTGACGTAGTGTGCGGCTCTACATTTGAATACATGGCTTACGAATTTTGCCGGAACGGTCTGACCTGATCTGCCTGAGCTGGTCTGCCGTAGTGTGCGACAAGCCTTCAAATGATGTGCATATCAACGTATGCTTACATTAAAGATTATGTACCTACTCCTCATGGGCCGTCACCTGGTTAAACCGCACGACAGATTGTAATGAAACTTTTAGGCATTATTAAGCATTATTCAAGGATGGTTTGTGTGAAGTTTGGTGCAGATCCGTCAAAAGGGCTACGCCCCAGTGGCTCTGGCGATTCCCATGTTAACCTTATGAGAACTCATATTTTTAATTGAAATTAATAAAGAATCTTAACAGCTGGTTCAACTTAACGATTTGATTCTGTGATGTATTACTATTGCTTTTAATGGGATGAAGTGACAAGTAAGAGAGGTTCATCGGGGATTGTAACCTGTGTGTTTCTGTATGCTTCATTTTGTGACCAAGGTGGTCAAAGAAAATAAATCTTTTCCGACGGTTGTGCCGGACAAAATAAAGTTTTGATTTTGCCAGAAATGATGTTGTACTGTGTAAAAAACAGCACCAACATTACTAATATTAGCTTGAGATTTTTTGAGCCCTACCACGGGCAAAGTGAAGGAGATGCTGCTCATAGCAACATAGGCCGAGCTGTAGAAGTAGCTGATTTTTGTGCCAAGTCAATTGACAACAATCTTTGCTTTGGCCCGGAGGAAGCAACCTTAGACTGTCATTGACTTAACAAGCCAGGACTTCTTAGATTTCATAAAGTATTCCCAAGACATGAGAATACTAAAAGTCAGAAATGATGATGATGGATGTTCTGTCAACTGGACCAACATGTACGAACTAAGAGTAACAAAAAGTGGGCCATCCAAAATATTTTACAAGACTAGTCACAACTAAAAAGAGTACAAGAGTATCTCTCTCCAGAGAACCAAGCATGTTTCTAAACTAAACGCAAAAGACTTACCCATCTCTAGGCTGGCTGTGATTGGTAAAAACTAACAACTTATGTACTGCGTTGTTTTTTAAGTTTCACTGTAATCTCTAGTAAAATACGTAAACTAGAGAAAAATCTTTCATATCAAACATTCATATAAACACTTTTCAAGGAAAATACAATCAGATTCTCTTGGTAACAAAAAAGTAATGTTTTAAGACCTTAAAACTGAAACGGTTAATTTTTGTTAGTATTAAGTCTAGTTCTCACAAAAATATAGTGATATTTGTAGATTAATGAACACATTCATCGTAGTTTAAAATGACAAAAATTCATACAAGAAACGCGTTTGGACATATTATTTTAGATTTTTAATGGGAATTTCTTTTTCAGATCTCGTTTACTACTAATATCACAATACTTCTACATTTATAAGCCCCGAGGTGTTTATCACCCCACTTGGTTATAAGGGGTATATTTTACATCGGTAAAAAGGGCTTATATTGAGAAAAGATGATTTTGTTATAATACATTATGACAAATAGCACAGCAATTCTTACTTACGAATTTTGGTCGGAATACTGTAAGTATTGACGGAACTCATAGTGTAATCAATTACATTTTCCAGCTTTATACATTGGTAACACTGAATGAAACTAGAGAAGGTGTTCCTTGTGCTTTTATGTCTGATAATCAGGGGGTGAATAATCAATTTAATTATTTTTTCAATAAATCAAAAGTGTGGCTGGTTTGAGTATTCATTTTAACTATTATACCCACCCTTAACCAACGTTCACTTAAACACAAACTATGTTCTGGCACGATTTTCGTTCTAAATTCAATTTTATTTTTTCCAAACTGACTCAGGTCAAACTATAGCTAAGGCTAACAACCCAATGTTTTTAAATACACTATCTATGGATTGAAATCAAACCTGACTCTAATAAACTTACTGTTACTGGTACAACGGATTTCACAAGTCCGTATGCGATTTTTGAGAAAATATAAATAAATGCTTGACAAAGTACAGCATGTCCGATTTCATGTTGTATAAAAGCAAATAATTTTTCGAATACTATTTCAAAGCACTTAAAGTTCAGCAATCTATAAGTATAATCTAAAATAAGATGCAAAATGATAATTTAATGATAAATATGTGTAACAATACCACTATTCATACTACTTTGGTATGACTAAACATAAAAGTTTGAATAGTCCAAATCAATAGATGACCAGAATGTAAACTTGTTCACAGCCCAGTACGGTGGTTACTTCTCCACACCACTCGCAACGTGTGGTGTCCGTTAATTTGCATGCTAATGTTGTTTGGACGTTGTTTGAAGCACTGCATTGACAGTTTTGTTGGATCCAATGAATAACGCATACCCTGCTTCTGTACCTTTGTTTAGATTTAAAAGAAAACTGTGCAATAGCTGTGGCATCACAAGTATGCTACACAAAATCATTTTTTACTTTAGTACATTTTAATTTCATGCTGTTTACAAACAAGATTTTTAGTACTGTTTGTTTTGATTAATCAATAAAGTGTGCAAACCTTGTTTTATTTTTTAGCACGAATTACAATATTCGAAATGTGTGACTCAGCTCTATCGCAATCAGCCGACTAATACAAGATGTTACATAATTACGAAAAACAGTAATGCCTATGGGGCGGATTCGAATATGTAAGAAATGTACATCCAGGTATACATATACCTTATTTCACAGTTATAATACGGAATAAAGGTAATTAACGTTAAAAGAGTGAAATGTCCATAATTTGAAATAATAGTTGTGTAAGTTTTATGAAGATGTGAAATTGTTTGCTTATAAAATTTCTTATACTGAGAAAGGAGTTTTTATCGTTTAAGACGTGAACATCAGGATTTGAAATTTCTGTCTCCATCTCAGTAGAAAATAATCATCGTGATTTTACCTGCGTTTCGGTATTGTATAGTTTAGATTTATTGCTTTGGCCGGTATCCTATACAAAGTATGAAGTTGGGCAGGTTGATAAAGACATATAAATACGATACCAATCAGAAAAGGTTGATAATATCACTGTTTGTATTATAAAACACCCGAATAGCACCAAAGTATCTCCATAAACTTTTTTTGCTTTACTGTGCAGTAAGAGAGCTCAGGAAAATCCCAAGAATCGCATTTGGAGGATTGCCCTCTCTGGTGGTTTACCAACTTTTAAAACTTTTCTCGTTGTTCCTAGGTCTGCAGTTTACTTTCTCATCGACGGCAAGCTATTATCACAAATACTTTACGAATACTGATATACCTTGTTTGTTGTACGGTAATGAAAACACATTTAAGGACGATCTCAGTGCAAAACAGCAGTCATTTATATTTTTAAGGAGAATAGCTAAAACTATTGATGATAAAAATGAACCAAGAAGGTTCATTTCCAATAAACAATGCAATAAAACTTTACATAAATTTATCAATTA